GGCCTTCCCAAGACTTCTCCCATCTCCTAAGGAATCGGGCCTGGAAGATTGTAACTGTAAGAGTTAACCGTATTAGCCTTAACACCTATAAACCTTTACCAATACTTTCATAAAAGGAGGGAGGCCCCTTGCATGCAATAGCTGCGTTACCCAGAAAATGTCTTCTGATGAATAACAACATAATGTGAGCATATTTCACGCATCGGCTCATTTATTTAGACAGTATATATTGAACGAATTTGTATACAGACAGTAAATTCTGTTAAAAGAAGCGAATAAGCGAAGTACAGGAATTAGTCGCGAAGGAAGCGACACGATCGACGCAACATAATGGCGCGGACACCAAGCTTCAACTATCCTCTAAGTCTGAAAATGTCGACTTTGCACACTGCATATGAGGTACAGTTCCAAGTTAACTTTGACTCCTCTGTGAGGTTTAATTTGACAGGAGCTGGTGCTCTGGTATCGGAATATTCGCATTAAACCCTTAATATTTTGTTCAGGTTCGTAACAGAAGGCAATCCTTTGCCTCGTCTATGACCACATCGAGACGTTCAATGAATAATTTCATTTGGAAATTGGAAATTTCTAGCCGATTGACATCCTCTTCACATGCTTTGAATTTGTCTTTCCTTTTAGCCCTTGAACGACGTGAAGCCTCGTTGTTTTTCCTTCGTCTTTCCTTCTGAAGGTCAAAATCCATGTTGCAGTCCACAGCCTGGCTTCCAGGTGAAGTAGAAACAGATATAATTTCAAAAGACTGGTCGTCCACTGACCACGTGTTCGTCGCCGCATCAATCAAGTGCTCGTCAATGTGGATTTTGTTCTACAATTAGTGCAAGTATAAATTAAATGTGAGTGGAAGCTCTTAACTGCAATGAAAAGAAAACTTTGAAAGTAAACAAGTGGTAAAGCAAAGCCACTTTAAAACCGCAACAACTTACGTAATCCGTGAAGGTAGCTAAGAGCCGTTCCGTTTCTTTCATATCTTCCACGTCAAAGTGAATATCCGGCGCACCGTCTAGCGGGAAAGCAGAAGACGAAGTTCGAATAGGTGGCAGACTCATGTCGATAAGTTCGAGCAATTCATTAACATCCATTGGACGGTCAAGTGAATTGGAAAGATCAGGAACCCTACTGTTCTCAGCAAACCCTGAACAGGCTTCCTGCACAGGCGCATTTTCATCTGGCAAAAGAGCGTGTTTTTCTGGTAGGGTAAACACGCCCAGGCGGTTGTGTAGGTTGCAAGGTTCATACAGGTTAGACACTAGAGGTAAGTCATTCGCTAAAGTTGGACTGTTAGTCATTTCAAAAGCGTCCATAGAAGCACAAGAATTGCGTGAAGAGAGAGGGGAAGCAAGGTTTCCAAAAGTTTCCTCGAACACTGGAAGATGATTAGGTGTTTCAGATACTGATTCGACAGGATCGAGGATCGGTTGAATGCAATAGTTTGCGGAGTACTGCTGCTGTTCAAAATTTATGCACTGTGCTCTGCCGTAAACAAGGTCGTTTGAGGAGGCGAGCAACTGATCATCTTGAATAAATGGTACATCAGCGATGTTTATAATATTAGAGTATCCATTAGGAGAATTTTCCATGGTTTTGATACTTGCATGTTCAGATGTTCTAGCTGCAGTGTGTCAAAAAATACGTCGGTCAGGGGATGTAAACACGGAAATGTGACAAAATAGAGATCTTAAATTGAATTTGAAACCAAAAGTTGGTTTTAAACTGTTTCCCTGTTTGCAGGTCATTATAAATTGCTCGTTCATAATAGTCCTTATTATTGGGAATAAATTGGACATCTTTATGCGAAATTCGTTTTCGATGCCCTTTAATACCAGCAATCAAAAGGCGCTTATGCGTATTTAAATATATCTAACGAAATTAATTAGACGTAAATCTAATTGTTTATTAACTTACTATCTCTTTGCGTCAACCAATGTTATTGAATAAAGCTCACATGATATTGTAGTTAGTTTTCTGTTTTCGGGTTATTATTTGTTGATAAACGATATTATTTCAGCCGCTTAAATGTTTTTTCGTTTGGTTGTCATATGAATGTACCGCTAAAGTATATTTAGAAGAAATGCCGGGCTTTTTTTTACCTTCACTGGCGATATAAGGATAAATAAGTAGATGTGAATTGAATGATGTCTATATACTTGGATGTAAAGACTGCTAGTGGAAACCAAGAGTTTAAGTAATAGCTGAAAAGTCAATATCCGTATCTCAAAAATGATATAAAAAACGACTGAAAACGTACTTTCTATATCATAGCTATTAGGCTTTACTCCGCGGCAATTTACCGATAGTCCCATCCTGGAGTTTATATTTATCTCTGAAGACAGCCCAATCGAGAATTCGTCCAATATTTTGTCTTCCCCGTAGTTGGCTTTCAATTTGTACATTGAAGCTGCCTCTGCCGATATTTCCAGACCACTGTGAGATCCAGTGTTTACTATGTCCTGGCATTTTTCGTCTAGCGGGGATTCCTGGCAGTTGAGGTTATTTGTAAGATGTATTTTGTAAGATGAAGCGCTAAACGGCAATGTTTTCACACGGTCGACAACTTAGCACTTCCGAGGCAGTGGCGCAGCTGTTTGCGCC